AAAAAAAAAAAAAAAAAAAAAAAAGAAAACAACAACAACTACTATGGCCATGGTGTCCATGTCAAACTGGAGAGTATTCAACTAACTACCAATCTCGCTCCACAGGCGATAATCACAATTCTGTTCCTTTCTACCCAAAACACCCTTCTCTCTTCACCAAAATTACCGCCATTTCCTCTCACAACCATTAGAACTATATGGCGCCGGCAAGGGCAATATCGTCACACAGCGGTTAAAAGTTTGGTCTTCCTCCAACGGTCCAACTTTGACCATCTCTATAAAGAAAAAAGAGAATTAAAAGAAAATTAAAAAGAAAAAAGAAGGTTGGTTCGACGTGAAAAGAAATGCCGGTTCCAATTTCTTCCATTGGAACACACAGATGACCTTTCCCAGCCCTTCCAGGACTACCTCAGCAGCAGCAGCAGCAGTTCTTCCTCAACATTGGCTATGACTTCTTCAATTCTCCTCTACTCCGAATTCAGGCCCCAAATGGTGATCCCTATGGCGCTCGATTTCCTCCTCCCTTCCTGGTTGGAAATCAAGATCACACTCGCCACTTCCCTTTTCGTGATCTTCGCTTACTGGTTTTTCGCCTACCGGAGTTCCTTGTTTGATGGTGATCCTTCTGTTCTTGACAATTCTGGGGATTCTATTGACGCTAAGGACAAGGTTGGTGCCTTGTTTAACTAACTTCTGTTTTTTTCATTTTGTCTTGCAATTGATTTCCTGGGTTTTGGATTTGGGTTTCGAAGGTGATTTGTAGTGTTTCTTTTTTGGGGAATTCTACTGTTTTTTTCTTCTTCGCTACTTCATGGGACAGCTCGATGTGTTTGTGTTCATATTTTTTTATGTTTGGTTTAGGAATTGATTTCTGATTCTAAACTTTTACTTCTTTGCGTTTCTGCTGATATGATCCTATAAACAAACCTTGGGGTTTAAGCAATTTATCTAGCAGTTCAAATTCTAGCTTCTTGTTTAAACTGTATCCGTGTTTTGTTTTTAATTGTCGTTTTGTGATTGGACTTGGGGAATTCTTTCCTAATTTTGAAATTATAGTTCCTGATACCATTAAAAATGCTTACGGAGCCTATTTCTTTTGTTTTCCACTACGGTTCAGTGATGATAACAAATTTGGGCGTGAGATTTGATACTTTCTGCTTTCTTTAGGTATTATTTTCGGATTTCATGTTTATTAAATATTGCTTGCAGATAAAACTGCTAAAGTATAAATAAATGTACTTATGAATTCTGCGAACGCTGGAACTTGTTTTTGTCTGGATTAGTAACTACTTCTTTTTCTCTTTTCTGGATTTATGTGAAACTTGTTCAGGATGGTTGGAATATGAGTCCCACATTGGCTAATTAAGGGGTTGATCATGGATTTATTATCAAGAAATACATCTCCATTTGTATGAGGCCTTTTGAGGAAGCCAAAAGCAAAACCATGAGAGCTTGTGCTCAAAGTGGACAATATCATACCATTCTGAAGGGTCGTGATTCCTGACAAAACTGATAAAAATTAAGCATTTAGTTGATGTGTAGCTATGTTATATTCTTGTGTTAGAAAATCCGAGATAGATTTCTTTTTCATGGAATAATATGCAACTCTTTTGACGTGCAGTTTTGCAATTATTTTGTAGATTCTTACTGGCCATTTGAGAGACCTTCAGACTAATTCTGCTTATCTAATTAAGGTATTTAGATACTTTTCTCTGGTTTTTATTCTGTCTATGAAGACTGGAATCGCATCTGCCGGGTATTAGAATCGAAACTTGTACTTTTGGCCTCAATTATTTGCAACTTCATTTTTTGTAAATTTCAATTAGATGGCGTGTTTGGTCTTTTCAGTTGGAATTGTTGGCTGCCAAGAATCTTATTGCTGCAAACTTAAATGGCACTTCTGATCCTTATGCTATTATTACCTGTGGTACAGAAAAGCGCTTCAGGTTATGTTCATGTTTATTCTTTTCTGTAATTATAACCTTTGAGTATGGTTGATCGTTTAATGGGGACGTGTGCCTTACTTCATTGTTGGATTGTAAAGCAGTTTTCTCATCTGCACATAATTTGATAAATGAAGAAAGTTTAATGAATACTACATTTGTATCTCGAAAAAAATTCAGAGTTCAAGTGCTTTTAATATTTGTATGTCCACTTTGTTCCCATCTTTCTTATTGTAGTTTTATAAAAACTTTTGTACTAATCTACAGTCAAAATTGTATAATTTAATGTCGCCTCCTTTTCCTTCACTGCTTGAATTAAAGTACTTCATGCTTGGTGCAGTTCAATGATTCCTGGTTCAAGGAATCCCATGTGGGGGGAGGAGTTCGATTTTTCTGTCGATGAGCTTCCTGCCCAGGTATCCTGTCCAAATATATATATATTTATATTTTTTCCAACATTTTTCTTTGGCTTAATAGAAACTATCTATTAATAATATAAAACTATAAACCTGTGCCAATGGCTCGATAAGTTTTGCCTGACCCCTTGACTAATAGGCTTGAGACCTAGTTTAGATCACATTTTTAGTGTTACACTCAGCTCATGTCTGTCCTAGATATTGAAGTCCAACCCAATGATTGCTTCTTACTGACCCTGTCCTACCCTTTTGCCACCACCCCCTTGATCTTTTCTAATTTCTCGAACTTCAGAGAATGCTTATTAAACAAACTGCAAACTAACTCAGTGGACACATGATGCAGGATTTGCTGCATTATAGTGCTAATGAAATCCTGCGTTATAGAGCTAATGAAGTGAAATACATACTAGCTTCCATTGTTTCTGTCAAAGTTCAATGCTGTCTTTGTAATTTTCATGCCACTTATATAACTTTTTTCTCTCATCTAACAGATTAATGTTACAATTTATGATTGGGATATAGTTTGGAAAAGTGCTGTTCTTGGTTCAGTTACTGTTACGGTTGAAAGTGAAGGCCACACAGGTGCTGTATGGTACACATTGGATAGCACTTCCGGCCAGGTGCTCATTCATAATTTTTTTGCTTC